TGGCAGAGTTAGTTTCTTCTGAGCGCCTCCTTCTTGGCTTGGAGGTAGGTGCCTTTCTCCAGTACCTTCACATGGTCTTCTGTCTGTATGTCTGTCTGTGTCCTATCTTCTCACCTTATAAGGATACCACTCAGATTGGATTAAGACCCACCCCAAAGACTAATTAGCCTTAATTACCTTTTAACACGCACAGCGACTTTAGCCAACAGCCATGATATGAAGGCCCACAGCCAAATGTTGACTTTAGACGACAGCTGTGATATAACTTTTCTAATTTTTCATTTATCAAAATAAAATTGTGAACATTGCTGATAACATAATGAAAACATATATGTATATGTTACCTATTCTGATTTATATTACAAGTAAAGCTGCCTGTAAAGTAAAACAAGCTATCAGTGCTTTAAAGTTTTCCTCATCACACAAGAGCAAAACGGATTCATCGTCAATGCACAGCACAAACTATCCTGCAGCCTGTGGGTGCCGGCTGTGGGCAAGGTTTCGCGGCTGGTGAGCTCGGTCCCGAAATGGTTAAAGACACTAGCTCCAAATATAGTCACATTCTGAGGTCCTGAGGGTTAGTACTTCCACATGCAAGTTGAGGAGGGAGGGAGAAAAATGAAGCCTATAATAGTAGGTAAGGAAAATAATGTTTTTTTATTTAGAATTAACATGGAAATATTATGGATAGAATAAAAAATTTCCATGATTTAAAGATAAACAAGTGACTCTAGAAAATATTTGTCTGCATTACACTTCTTCAGATCATGCTACTGTAGCTTCAGGGTATAGTGTTCTTTGCTCTGGGGATATTCCAATGTTGTGCTGGTAGTAGAAAAATAATGAGATTAAATAATGAGATTTAAAATGTAAAATTCTGGGTTCAAATTCTGACTTTACCATGTGCCCACCTTATATTGTGGCAAACTATTTGTGATTTCTAAGCTTCAGATTTTCCTCTTACAAATATGAATAATAATAATGTCTAATTCATAGAGATGATATTATTAAATGAGATAATATTATTAAAATAATGAAATAGTTAAGTACTTTTATAAACATAAGACTTCCTCTCAAGAGGACTTCATCTCAATTTGAAAATGAAATCTTGAACTATGCCCTTGACCTAAAAAGACATCAAGAGGACATTTGATAAGATAGTAAAAATTGTAGGCATATGGGACCTTTTAAAGAAGCTTGATTCAGGTCTACTTCATTATACAGTTGTTAAATATTATAAAAAGATATTCAAGGCCGGGTGTGGAGGCTCATGCCTGTAATCCTAGCACTTTGGGAGGCCGAGGCAGGCAGATTGCTGGAGGTCAGGAGTTCAAAACCAGCCTGAGCAAGAGCGAGACCCTGTCTCTACTATAAATAGAAAGAAATTAATTGGCCAACTAATATATATAGAAAAAATTAGCCAGGCATGGTGGCGCATGCCTGTAGTCCCAGCTATTCTGGAGGCTGAAGCAGAAGGATCACTTGAGCCCAGGAATTTGAGGTTTCTGTGAGCTAGGCTGATGCCATGGCACTCACTCTAGCCTAGGCAACAAACCGAGACTCTGTCTCAAAAAAAAAAAAAAAAAGATATTCAAATATGAAAAGGAATACAATACAATATGAACTAATGTATAATAGCTTGTACATTATTTTGGAAAACTTCAAGTCATCATTGTTTTTAATTTTCTACAGATATACATGTAGATACAGATATATACACACATACATATACATGTATACATGGGGTTCATACATATACATATATACATGCATATACATACATGCATACAGATATTATGTATATATGTATATGTACAGATGAAAGTTTGGGAGCCCCCATGATAAGAAAAGTTAACATAAATTAAGCATTTCCTAACTTAATACTTGGAAAGCCCTTTAAAATGTGACTAACACTTAGTGATCAATGAATGACTGTTTGTTATCAGGAGTATTACTCACATGCTAACCACTTTACATGTGCTATTTCATTTTATTCTCACAATAACCTTATGAGATATGCATTGTTATCATCTACATTTTACAGGTAAGAACATTGGGGCTCAGAGAGAGAAACTCAACTGGTAAATGAAAGAGTTATGTTTCAAAACCTGGTATTTCCAATTTCAGAACCCAAACTCTTAACGACCATGCTATACTTCCTCTCCCATGTTTCATCATTAGTGGTGAAATGCTGAGTAAACATTCTCCCATTTGGTTTCAAATTATTTCTGCTTTTAATAATTTTTTCCACTCCCACTTTGTTTAGTTAGGTGACTCTCTGTATTCCAAAAGATCTGAGGCTTTCAGGATATATTAAATAGTGCCAGCACAAACAAAGGAAATCCTGCACCTATTCCTTCTCTCCTTTCTATTCTCTTGCAGTTTAAACTTAATAAGAATTGTGTGTTTCTGGGAGAAATATAATTATATTTGCAAATATAACCAACAAGTTTGATTGCCTTCTTTTATCAAAATGGTACAACCCTGATTAGAAAGAAGAGGAAAGTCAAACAGGGAGAAGATGACTATCACAGAACTGCAGCTCTGGAGAAATAATACAGATAAGGGATGACTTACAGTATTTTCCTACCTCCCAATCCAATATGCTTTCCACAATAGCAAGATGCCTAATGAATCTGAACAACTAATTATACAGATCCAATATGTCTTTGATGGGCCTCAAAATTCTGAAAAATCATTTTAAAGTTGCTTAATTATTGTTCTGAAAACCAACATACTGTCATGAATTCTGAATTCTGACTACCATTTTCCAATATTTTCTTTTCTTTTTTTCTCATTGCTTATACTACCTGCTTTGCTTCAATATGCATGAATATTTCTGAATCTTAAATTTAAAGAACATATACCAAATTCTGTGAATCTTTCCTGGGAAGACATTAATAAAAAATGGTATATCAGTTTAATACAATTTGTCACTATTCACCTCAAATCCTCCCTAGTGGATTTCGATGAGGAAGCTGTCTTGCCACATTTATACATTTTTTGTTTAATCTGCTCACCTAACCTCTTGAGAACTTAATTAAATACTTCTAAAAATACTAGCATATACTTCATAGAAATTGAATTTTCCATTAAAAGTTACCAAAACAAATGGATAAGAGCTTGCATAGTTGTAAAGAGAGACAAAGTGAAGATGTCAGCTAAAGGGAGATAAAAGATGGAAAGAAAATTACTGTGTCATCAAAAAGATAATGAAGTTTAAAAGAAATAAAAAAATGAGACATTCTGTAGGACATATAAAACAGTTTGACTAGAGCCAATAAAAAAGATAGAAACTTTGGTGGAGGAAATGTCACTAATTAGATATTGTTAAAGCTGAAATGAACATTTTATTTTATGCTTTTATAGGCTAACAAATAAAAGAAAGGTACTTAAACGAGCTATATCTGGCTTTTCCACAGATCAGGGTACAGATTGTATGACATTATCTCTACAGGAACACAACCTAATCATGTTGTGCTATGACACCATGAAGCAATGTGAAAATACATTTTGGAAAAGACCTTGAACTTGTGTGCCATATACAGAAGGAAGAAAACACATTTTTGAATCCCTGGAAAGGATAAAACTGCTAGTACATATGCCTTTGAAAGTAATCTACGAAGAAACAAAAAGGAAATTGTATTCCAACTGCTATAACCACAAAGTTAGTTTTATTTTCAGCAGAAGTTAAAAACAACAATTGTCATAAATACATTATCTTATATTTTCAAAAACTTATTTCACAACATCAAATATGTTCACTAACCATTAATGGTAAGATATTATTTGTCATAAGCAGTTCTACAAAGATGAATATATCGCCAATATTTAGAGTAGTCAAGGATGTAGGAAAACATGCAGTCTAAAGCAGAGCTGACAATGTGCAGAATATTAACTCCATTGTGTAGGACATGACACTATGAGTCAAAATATTAACTCTTTAATATCCTTTTACTCAACAATTCCATTCCTAGGAGCTTATTCTAAGTAGAGATTGGAATACAAATGTACAGATAAAGTCACAGCAGCATTGTCTGTGTGTGTGTGTGTGTGTGCGCATGTGTGTATATTTGTATGTGTTGTCCCTAGGTGGTGAAATTTTGCTTTATTTTTCCTTCTCCCTTTTTTTTTATTTTAGCATATTATGGGAGTACAAGTGTTAAGGTTACTTATATTGCCCATGCCTCCTCCCCCCACGAGTAAGAGCTTCAAGCATGTCCATCCCCCAAACATTGCTCTTTCTCCCTTTATTATAATTTTTGATGCTATTTTCATTTTCTACAATAAGCATATATTTATTTTTCTAAACAGAGTAAAAAATAAAAAGAAACCAGATATTGTATTCAGTACATGAAATCAAGAAGCAGAGAAATGAAATGACCCATTCTAAATCTCACATTGGTTAACAACAGAACTAGACTAAAGCTCACATTACCATGCTACCACAAACAGCATCCAAGGAATGATAGAAAGGATTGGGCTTTTCTTCTATTTATATGCATTAATATGCAGGATTACACTGAGCTAATAACGCTTTTCCATTAGAAGAACAGCTAGGAAAAACCAGTTGAAAAACCAGAGTAAAATAGCCATGACATAAATCCTAAAGATGTACACTAATCCAACTTTACATTTTTGTACGATGATTACAGAGTTCACTCTATGCCTATTGTGTTAGTAAAATCCCACATAGTCAATTGTCAGCAAAGGAACCACAAGTAATGTAATACATTGTCTAAATTTTCAATTAAAAAAAGATTCTTAGAATATCAGAACTTATAATTTTTTTCTGGAAGCAAACTTTGTTTCATCTTGTCCAAACTGTTTATTTTAAAGATGAAGAAACTGAGGCCCAAGACTAATTTGCTCAAACTCACAGTAAAATATAGCAATTTGTTAGACTGTACTTGAAATATTTTAGCATTTAAAGGAGTATAGAAAGTATTACATCTTTCTATATTGGGCATTTTATTCAATGATAAATATGTATTAAGCACCTGAAGCAGAAATTCAGCTTCCTAATGTTCATTGGATTTCACTCTTTTCCTTTTGTGGACAGTCCCTTCTCATCTGAAACCGTCTCTGCCTCCATTTCAGCATTTTAGAACACAAGTGATCTTTCTGACTTGTAGTCTGAGTTCCAAAGGTAGATACTGAGTTTTAAAAGAAAAATAGTGTATTAATGTCATATTCCCTCCAAGATTTTTACCTGTGAGAAGTTAAATGATCATGCTTTGTAAGCATAATAATATAACAGTTACATATATTAATGAGTTGAGATTTATAATTAAATAAAACAAATTTAATTCAACAAAACCAAAATGAAGTAATAGCAATAGCATCCTATATTTAGGAATTATTGGGGCAAGAGTGGTACTAAAAGCAATTCTCTGTCTTCTCAGTTTTCCCCTTGATGACTCAATTACTCAAATTTTGCCCAGATGTCATGGGATTTAACTCTTTGATGTAGTGGGTTCAGAGAAAGAAGTGTCAATAGCAAGGGTTATCCTGCCCAGATTGTGCCTCAGTTGGGCATTTAGCCCAGGGAAGCAGAGGAGCAGGCTAATGTTCACCTAATTAGCCACAGGAAGAGAACAAACAGGTTGGGAACTAAAATAAATCATTTGTGACTCATCCATAGAGCAGATGAGTCTTAAAAGTCCTTCAAGAAATCCATAAACCAGGAAACTCCTGTGACGTGGTCTTCCAATTCCTATAGATATTCCTCGAGTTGAATACAACTTTGGGGTCATATATCAGCCAGCATGGGTTGCTATCATAAAATGCGATAGACTGGGGGACTTAAACAATGGACATTTATTTCTCACAGTTCTGAAGGCTTCGAAGTCCAAAATCAAGGTGACTGCAGACTCATTTCCTGGTAGGGAAAAGCAGAGAGTGGTTCATCCCTCAGGCAAGGAAGAACTAACAAGACAACCAGTGCTCAATTCCAAAGCAAACACTGCCTACGGATGAAACAATAACATGGTATATAATTCGAGGAAAAACAGGAAGGCTTCCCACCTACAATGTATCCTTGGTACTAATTCAAATAATCATTAAGTTGAAATAAACTTTCCAGGAAAGGTTAAGAGGGCAGTATGTGGTGCGGTTAACAAGTATTTCAAGTTAATTATAATTCCTCAGATTCCTTCCTAATATTTAGCTGACTTCACTGAGACAATTTTGATGAAAGCTGCTGAAGAAAGCAAGATTAATTTTGCATTGGAGGTACTATAAAAGAAGGAAGGCACACTTATAGGGCATTGGGCAGCTGTTAAGAGAGAATTAACAGATAGCCAAAAGGAAATAGAAAAGGAATACAGAACCACAGGTGAGAGGGGGTGAACTTTCAGATTTTACTGATGACTAGCCTGGCCCTCTTCCTACTTTAAATGAAGCACAGTACTCAATAAACATTTTTCATGAACTCAGCATCCAGTAACCCGGAGATTCACTGTGGTGCAAGAAAACCAGCAATAGAGAAACAGGGAAAACTTGATTGGGAATCAGGAGACCTGATCTGGTGATTTGAGAAGGCTACCTTCTCTCACAGTCTCCAAATTGTCCTTTCTCAGGCAGAATTTCTCAACCTTGGCACTATTTACATTTGGAACCATATAATTCTTTGATGAGGGGGCATCCTGTGCCTTATGGGATGTTTAGCAGCATCTGTGGCCTCAACCCTTTAGATACAGGAGCATCCCTCCCTCGCGTTTGATGATCTACAATGTCTCCAAATGTTGCCAAACGTCCCCAGGAGGACAAAATTTTTTCTAGTTGAGAACCACTCACTCATCTGTTACTTGCAAATTTTAAATTCTACAATTTTATGAGTTTAACATGCCACAGTTATACATAATGAAGCTGTAAAAAGCATGGTGTCTGAATTCAAAGTTTGGGGGGTAAAATCTCTTTACCATGGGGGATTACTTCAGGCAAATTACTTAATTCGTTTGTAAAACGAGAATGGTAAAACCTACCTCATAGTGTTTATGAAGGGATCAATGTATATGTGCCCAGAACAGCATCTTTCTCATAGGATGCAATGTTATTAGTGTAGTTATTTCAATGATTATAGTCCTAATTATTCACCCAAGACATGGGGATGGTTCTTTGGTGATAGATAGAGGTCCCTTTTGATTTCCTCCCCAGAGTTAATTGTACATGTTAAATCTGAGTGCACACATATACTATGTGTGCTATTCTGTGGAGGAAGTAGTGGCTAGATTATTAACACCCTGAAAACAGGAACCAGATTTATGCATTCATAGCTATTATCTCCAAGACCCCACATAAAACCTGGTATACAGTAGGTATTCAAGAAACAAGTGCTGATGGACGGATTAATTATGGAATAATTGATGGAAGAATGATGTTGCACACTAATAATTAAGTGTTCTGCTTAAGATTCCTAAAAGCCTAAAAGTGGATAAAGACTTATGTATTTATATATCTAATACTATTCTTCATGCCAAAAGGTAGAGAAATTGTATTTCAAAAAATCCCATCCATGTACTTGAGAATTTTACAGAACAACATTAATATATGAAGTAGTTATGAAAACAAACAACCCTATGACCATATTTCCTGCACACTGGGAAATCAATAAAAATAACCACTAATTTATTTGCATCTGCATTCTGTGTCCCACTCTCCACTTAGGACATTGGGTGCTTAAGCTTTAGTGGAGCTGTTCAAATTCATTCTCATTCTTGCTCACTTTCTCTCTCTGCCAAACAGTTCCACAAAAAATGGGAAAGCTGAGAAAAGAAACTTATGGAATATAATTCTCCCAGCAATAAGGATTTTTATTGTCAATCTAAAAACAGCTGACACTGCCTGAAAGCAGGGCCATAAAAATAAAATACAGCACACATCCTCCATTTGCCTACACTTGACGGAAATGAGAAGATCCCACAATTGTTATGGCAGCTGACATTACTACATTTGGTAGTTTTTAACGAAGGAAAGGGGGAGACATTTCTCCTGAGCCTTAAGATATCTCCTTGCTTTGCAGATTGAAATAGTTTTAATTTAAGGAGCTATCCATTAAAACAGATCTTCATGATGAAAAGGTCGTTCATCTTCTTCATAGTTCTTATTTGCCTATCATTTTCTGCTAATTATATCACCACATAGCAACTCTTGCCCTGAAATTATTGGAGTCATTTCCTTTCTACTTTCAAAATGAAAACTATTTGGAGCCAAAACTTTGATTCCCTCTCCCACTGGTGTCCCCAAATATTCCAAATATTCGCCACTCTTCCTAAGATTCCTATTCCTACTCTGTCTGGAGTAACCTTTCTTTCTACTTCTCTGAAAAATGCCATCTATTAGAAAGTAAGTGTCTCAATTTTCTGCTTAAGAAAGTGTTGATATGTCAGAATTTCTCAGATTAGCTATACCTCACCTTGTCTCCTTCTCAGGGATAATGGTCCATCAAATCTTCTCTTTCCTGCCCAAATGTACATCCTCCTTTTCAAGGGACTCTCTTCTTCAGGATGCAAATGTGCTCAAATCTTTCTAAGCATAAAAAATGTGCACCCTGCATATCCTAGTAGCTTTCCTCTGACAATTGCTATATTCATGCACTCCTTATGAGTGGTCATCTGAAAAGAGTAATTTTGCTCTTCTTTTTCACCACCTCAGTTCCAACATAACTCTGCCACTCAAATGTAGCCTCCAATTCCATTCCCTAAAACCATTCTTGGGACAATCAGTAACAAATCTCAATTTTCTGTAATCCTGTTCCTCATGTGACAAATCCAAACCAATTAACTAGTGAGTAGTGTCACACTTTCTCCCTCCCCAATCAAAGGTTTCTGGTTTTGACTTCTATGTTTCTCTTACTTTTCTTTTTAAAAGAGTTCACTCTTGCTAGATTTTCTGATGTAGGGTCAGGAAGAAAGAGCTAGAAGTGTAGGAAAAAAAGGAAAATAGCTAAAAATGGTAAAAGAAATTTGAGAGAACTTTTCCAAAAAGTGCAAAAAGAGCAGATACACTGAGAGAAGTGGATGAGACATAAAGTGAGGAAGTTAAGAGATTTAAGTGTGGTTATTAATTCCCTCCATAACAGTGGAAAAATGAAGGGGAAACTGGATTGTTTTGAAATTATTTTTTGACTGTTTTTATGTGTGTGCTTTTTATTATGATGCTTTTTATTATGACTTTTCTCATAGCGTGAACAATTGTTACACTTAGCTTACCTGACTTCTCATCATTTTATGTGGCTAATTAAAACTTCCTTCTTGAAGGTCTATTTTCTTTACTCCTGTAACTTTCTTGGACTTCATCTTATATCTCTGCATCCTTATTAATATCATGCGTAAACTGCTCTTTTTTCTATCTAGGAAATCCATGATTCGAGATTGACCTCAACTATTAATAGTTCCTCACTTCACCAAAGCCATCCCTGCTTACACTGAGAAAATACCTATTAAGGGCTGAATTGCATCCCCCACCCCAAATTTATATGTTGAAGTCCTTACCCTCAGAATCTCAAAATGTGACTATATTTGAAGATAAGGTCTTTGAAGAGGTGATTAACTTAAAATGTGGTAGTTATGATGGGCCTTTATCAAGTTTGACTTTTGTCCTTATAGGAGTGGCAATTTCAACATGTAGAAACAGGATGCAGATGAACAGAGGAAAGACCACGTGAAGACACAGTGAGAAGGTGACCATCTGCAAGCCAAGGAGAGAAGACTCTGAGTAAAACCAGATCTGCTGAAACCTTGATCTTGGACTTCTAGCCTCTAAAACTGTAAAATAATAAATTTCTGTTGTTGGCTATGGTATTTTTATGGCAGCCCTAGCAAATCAATAACAACACTTAAATATTTGTATTGGTGTTAGACAAAATAAAGATTAAGTTCCTTTTAAGGTATGATTTTGAGTCCATATTCTGAAACAAAATCATAAAATATTAAAGCTAGAAATATTTTAGGGATCATTTAGTGGAGGAGGATTTTTCAGTTTTGTGAGAGTCACTAGATCCCTCTGTAAAATCTATGAAGCCAGAATCTCTTTATTAAAAATATGAACATGAGCACATATACATATATTTTGCATAAATGTTATTTTATTTCATTATGAACTTATTTTTTCATGTAAATAAAAATTAAAAAAAAATTGTGAATAAATGGTTGTCTTTCTCATTATTCAGGCAAAAACTAAAGGCCACTTTCTGAAATAAAATGGAAATAAATTGCATTGTGCAAATAAAAAGAAAATTCTCAATAGTAAATTTTTAAAAAGGTGATTAAAAAGTTTTTGTTTTCTTTGACATAGCAAAGAGAATATATCCTGGATGCCCAATAGATTTTTGACTTTTTTGTTGTTTGGGGCAAGAAGTAATAAAAAAAACCAGCACCCTGAATAAGATGACATTGCCATCTCATACAGAATTAGAATAACCATTACTCTCTTTGCCACTCAAAGATAGAATTGTGTGAAGAAAAGAAACAAAACATTCTCCAAGACCCTTTAGATAAATAAATTCCAGTCACATCATTTTCCCTGGTCAATAAGGTCATCTTTGGCAAGTACTGCATCACTGATCTTGTCTATTTCAGCAAGAAAATAAAATAAATCCATATTTCAATGTTAAGGTCATCAGAGTGGTGGTAACTTTCAAACAATTTTTCAGGACTTTGATATATCCAAAGATTTCTGCCAATAGATAAAACAATAAGACTGTCATTTTCAACTCCAGGCTCTAGAAGCACTTCCGGAATTAAAAAGTGTTCCTCAGCCCTCATCCTCCTCTTGCAGAATCAAAACAGCCAAAAGAACTCCTTGTTTTTAAAAGCATTCACAGACAATGTCAGGGCCTTAAATCAGAAGATTTACCTTAATCATTGGACCAAAATATCTG